AAAAAAAAAAAAAAAAAAAAAAAAAGGAAGAAGAAGAAGAAGAAGAAGATTAAGAAAGACATATATGGTCATTTGACACTGTTGATTAAATTATCTTTTCTGTTCAATTTGGTGCTTGGCTTTTAGGTAATTCTGCCACTGGAGCTATTGCTGGTGGAGTTGCTGCTGGTGCTGCTTTACTGTTTGCTGCTCCTGCTGTTGCAGTTGCTCTGTGGCGTCGGAAGAAACCTCAAGATCATTTCTTTGATGTACCTGGTCAGTGTACTTAGCAACAAAGTTATGAAAATGTTACATTCCTACATCATTTAACAGGAATATTTATTCAATTTCACTTCTTCTATACAGCTGAAGAGGATCCAGAAGTTCATCTTGGTCAGCTTAAGAGGTTCTCTCTACGTGAACTACAAGTTGCTACAGATAATTTTAGCAACAAAAATATTCTAGGTAGAGGTGGTTTTGGCAAGGTCTATAAGGGACGTCTGGCTGATGGATCTCTGGTGGCAGTTAAAAGACTTAAAGAGGAACGTTCCCAGGGTGGGGAGCTGCAATTTCAAACAGAAGTAGAGATGATCAGCATGGCTGTGCATCGTAATCTTCTCCGCCTGCGTGGATTTTGTATGACACCAACTGAGCGGGTGTTGGTCTATCCATATATGGTTAATGGAAGTGTAGCATCGTGTTTAAGAGGTACGGTTTCATAGCATACTTTATATATATTATGGTTCTTAAAACTCTGCATAGTGTTGCAGTCATATGACCAAAAAGATTGCATACTGAACTGATCTCTCTCTCTCTCTGGTAAATCCACAATCACATGAAATGACTGCATGGGTGAACTTTAAAAGTATTACAAGTTAACATAATCACATCACGTGCTGAATTTTCACATGATACTCTCTTGCTTTTGGTTTACACTATTGTAGAGCGTTCAGAATCACAACCTCCACTTAATTGGTCGAACCGAAAACGCATTGCTTTGGGATCGGCAAGGGGACTTGCTTATCTACATGATCATTGTGATCCTAAGATTATTCATAGGGATGTGAAAGCTGCAAACATTTTGCTTGACGAGGAGTTTGAAGCCGTGGTTGGTGATTTTGGGCTGGCTAAACTCATGGACTACAAAGATACTCATGTCACAACTGCAGTAAGAGGAACAATTGGGCATATAGCGCCTGAGTACCTTTCGACTGGAAAGTCTTCTGAGAAGACTGACGTTTTTGGGTACGGGGTAATGCTCCTCGAACTCATAACTGGACAGAGGGCCTTTGATCTTGCCCGGCTTGCAAATGATGATGATGTCATGCTTCTTGATTGGGTATGTTTTTCCTTACCTTAATATTTTTGGATGCTATAACGTAATATGTTGACACCTACGAAAACACGGTTTAGTTGCTCGGTATCTTTTGGTATCAGTAAAACGCAACATAACATCCACTTCTTACGAGTACAATACATTAACGGGTTTCATAATTTAGTTCATTAGTTTAGTTCTCTTAAGGCTGCTTCCTCAACCTATTAGGACTACACATAAAGGCGTCATAAGAACTAATATAATAGATTGGCTTAGTATTGAATAGACGGTGGATGCATTAAAAGTTGTATGATTCAGACCTTGTTAGTTACATATAAGATAGCTTGGACTTTAGGCGAAGTATTCATTTTTATATCCACTGTGGAGAATTATAGGTGAAAGGACTTCTAAAAGACAAGAGGCTTGAAACGCTAGTCGATCCCGATTTTGCGGGAAACTATCCTGACAACGAAGTCGAGCAGCTCATACAAGTTGCCTTGTTGTGCACACAAGGCACTCCTACCGAGCGGCCTAAGATGTCGGAGGTTGTACGGATGCTCGAGGGTGATGGGTTATCTGAAAGATGGGAAGAATGGCAGAAAGAGGATCGGTTCCAACAAGAAGTAAGCCGCAATCCCCACCCAAGTACTACTTGGATTCTTGACTCTACTGCTGAAATGCCTCCTGATGAACTGTCTGGTCCGAGATGATTTCTGGAAGCCCCCTCGTGTAAGTTAAGGATTGATATATGTATATATTTACCATATATATATATATATATCACATTTGTGCATATAGTTTCCACTTTTTTTTTTTTTTTTATATAGAAAAAAATAATTTCATCATAAATTTTCTGGGTTGTTCATCTTGTACCACATATCTGAGTTCTCAGTAATTTGTAGAGGGGTTGGTAATCAAAACATGAGAATTCAGCTGATTTTTCAAATTTGATCTGATAAAGTGATGTTGCATAAGTATATTGGTTTGTATTATCAAATTTTCCTTCTGTACCAATGAATTTATATTACACATCACTTGGATGGATTAAGTTCGATAAATCATTGAATTCTCATTACTTATTGTCTCAGGATTAGATTTTGTCATAGAACAACCATGTTTATATCTTGGTTTCTGGAGAATCCTTAGTGCATATTGTTATAATCTTGAAGAACATTGGGTGTTCTTGTCTCGTTCTTTCTTTTCTAATGATTTTGTGTGATTATAGTGAAGTGATTATGTTTGTATCTTAGTTTCTGGAGAATCCATAGTACAGATTGTAGTAATAATCTTGAAGAACATTGGCTGTTCTTGTCTCGTTCTTTCTTTTCCAAGGGATTTGTGTGGTTAGTGAAGTGAATTGAGAGATTAGAAGGCAAGTTCTTCTGGCAGGGAACACTAGTGAAGTGCTTCTTCTCCAAAGTTGCTTATATTTTAAGAACATTCTCAAGGATTATATCCATTACAAGCAAGCTCTGGATCATCGTTTTGAAGTGAAATTTTTTTCATTCAAATAAGAGTTTTTTTTTTTTTTTTTTTTTTTTTTTAAATTTATTTTATTATTGTAATATATATATATATATCACATTTGTGCATATAGTTTCCACTTTTTTTTTTTTTTTTAAATTTATTTTATTATTGTAATATATATATATATATCACATTTGTGCATATAGTTTCCACTTTTTTTTTTTTTTTTAAATTTATTTTATTATTGTAATATATATATATATATCACATTTGTGCATATAGTTTCCACTTTTTTTTTTTTTTTTAAATTTATTTTATTATTGTAATATATATATATATATCACATTTGTGCATATAGTTTCCACTTTTTTTTTTTTTTTTAAATTTATTTTATTATTGTAATATATATATATATATCACATTTGTGCATATAGTTTCCACTTTTTTTTTTTTTTTTAAATTTATTTTATTATTGTAATATATATATATATATCACATTTGTGCATATAGTTTCCACTTTTTTTTTTTTTTTTAAATTTATTTTATTATTGTAATATATATATATATATCACATTTGTGCATATAGTTTCCACTTTTTTTTTTTTTTTTAAATTTATTTTATTATTGTAATATATATATATATATCACATTTGTGCATATAGTTTCCACTTTTTTTTTTTTTTTTAAATTTATTTTATTATTGTAATATATATATATATATCACATTTGTGCATATAGTTTCCACTTTTTTTTTTTTTTTTAAATTTATTTTATTATTGTAATATATATATATATATCACATTTGTGCATATAGTTTCCACTTTTTTTTTTTTTTTTAAATTTATTTTATTATTGTAATATATATATATATATCACATTTGTGCATATAGTTTCCACTTTTTTTTTTTTTTTTAAATTTATTTTATTATTGTAATATATATATATATATCACATTTGTGCATATAGTTTCCACTTTTTTTTTTTTTTTTAAATTTATTTTATTATTGTAATATATATATATATATATATATATATATATATATATATATTTTAGATTACTATTGAAATTTTTTTTAAAAAAAATTATAAATTTTTTATTCAATAATCATAAAAATAAGGGTATGAGTAGGAAACAGATATATCGACAATTTCTTGGTTACTTTTGTCAAAGGAAAATTATAAATCAATATATATATATATATATATATATATATATATAAAGAATTGAAGTAGATAGGTTAGAACACGTAACTTTGTAATGTCTAAATTTTAGCCTACCTATTCCATATTTGACTCTTTTTAAATAAAAAATTATACTATTTTTTTCGTTTTTATTAATTCGACCATAGTTCACATATACTTTTTATTTATTTATTTATTAAAAGTTTAATATTAATTTCCACATTTATTATTAAATTATTGTAATTTATACTCGACTAGTTTGCTCATTAAAATTTAGCAAAATTTTCAAAGTTCATGTTTTATAGAGTAAGAAAATCCATACTAACATATTTGATAAAATATAAATATAATTTAAAATCGGGATAATTATTATTTTTCTCAAGTTTAAATTCTTACCCTAAAATTATAATATATATTATATTTAAAAATATTACTTATATGAAAATTATTATATCTAATATTTTTTTTGGGTTTAATAATAAATATTTGAAGTGGAAATTTGAATTTTTATGTGATTTTTCTTTAGAAAAAAAAGAAAGAAAAAAAAAAAGAAATTCTTTCCCGGAGAAGCGATTCCAGAGAGTGGGGTCCAATTCCTATAATCCTGTCCTACCTTTGCTTCTCAAATCAGATCTCTATGTCAAAAAAGAAGAAGAAGAAAAAAAAAAAAAAGGAATTTGCCGCCGGTTCTCTTCTTCACCTGACGGACATCGCCGCCGGTTGAATCTCCGATCAGTGGTTTCTTGTTCATGCCGAACGCCGGTGGTGGGAGGATTTTGGGTCGGGGTTTGTGGGGGGGCGGTTGGAATTATTCTAAGAAGACTAATATTGTGATTTATTGTTCTTATCAAGAAAGGCCCAATTACGCTAAAACCCCTACTTTCTCCGCATTAATGCACGTGAATTCGACTGGTTCTCTCACTCAAGTGCATTTTTGCGTCTGAATTTGAGCATTCAACGGCCGAACCTACCCACCCCCATAGCAGAGTTGACTTGATGCATTTGGCTCTCGTGAAAGGCACATTTGTTTAGGAATTTTTCGATTTCTCTTCACTGTCTCTGTTGCTGGAAATGTGATCTTCCTCTGCTGAATCTGTACCATTTTGTAAGAACTCAATCACCTATTTGTTTTTAATTCGTGGCTTTATTTCTCATTCCTGCAAATTTCTGCTCTCTGCTCTCTGCTCTCGTAAGTTCGGTAAGGAATCGTCTATTTGACCAATCTAGGTCGTTACAGCATGAATTTTCTTTCATTTTGGTGCATTGTTAGTTCATATAATTTGTTCTTCATCAGCACTTCGTCTAATCATTCAACCACTACTTTCTCGAGTCGTTTCCTTCTCGTTTTCTGATTTATAAACTGGATTAGTAAGTAGGATCGCGTCAGAGGACTTCTCACATTTCTTTGCAAATCCCGATCACATAGATTTATATGAATGCGTTTGTAGCCACTCCATCTACTTTTCTTGTCAGAGATTGACTTTAAGCAATGGGTTTCTCGATTCTTAGATCTGTTGTAATAAGATCATACTATCTGCCAATGCATCCATTTGTTGATCTGAGTATTTCGATTTGCAAGAAATGTTCAAATTAAACATGAGGAAAGAAGTCAATTATCTTTCATTAGCCTGTTCTTGTGATGCACTCATCTATCTTCTTTCTCAGAAGACAGGAAGTTAATTTGGAGCAATTATTTTGCTTACATTGAACTTAGTTTCTGTTTTCTGTTTCATGTCCTAAATTTTTCCTCTCCTTTTTTCAGGCCCTTTCTATCATTCTAGATACTGTTGAAATATATCAAGTTGTTTACGATATCTTCTTAGCCACTCGGGGATTTTTCTCAATCTTCAACTGTAAAGGTTCTTTAAAGTATGCGTAGAATTGTTGGCGAAGTATGTCGATGATGAAAATTCCGAAGCGTTATTGGATCGTTCTTTTAACCTTCATCTGCACCTCTGTTTGTTATGTGGAACGTGTTGGCTTTTCGATTGCTTATACATTTGCAGCTGATGCTGTGGGGGTAGATCAATCAAGCAAAGGTACTATACTTTCAACATTTTACTATGGGTATGCCTGTTCCCAGGTTCCTGGTGGATGGGCCGCTCAAAAAATTGGAGGAAGAAGGGTTCTTCTGATCTCATTTATTTTATGGTCCCTGACCTGTGCATTAGTCCCACTCGATCCGAGTCGGGTGATGGTCTTGGTAATTGCTCGGTTACTTGTTGGTGTGGCACAGGGTTTCATCTTCCCCTCAATCCACACTGTTTTAGCACAGTGGGTTCCTCCTCACGAGAGATCTAGATCTGTTTCTCTTACAACCTCAGGAATGTACTTAGGTGCCGCTGCTGGAATGCTTATCCTTCCGAGCCTGGTAAAGTATAGAGGGCCTCAGTCGGTATTTGCTGCCGAGGCGTTGTTAGGTGCCACATGGTCTGTGCTATGGCTCATGTATGCAAGCGACCCTCCACGTTCTGAACATGCCAAAGCTGTTGCTGCTGGTTTTGGTGAATCTCTGCTGCCAATGAAAGGAAACCATAAAGTAAAAGTAGAGGATGGAGGAACTTCAACACGAACCTCGAACATCCCATGGAAGAAAATCTTGTTGAGCTTGCCAGTTTGGGCGATCGTTGTAAACAATTTTACCTTCCATTATGCGTTATATGTATTGATGAACTGGCTGCCTACCTACTTTGAGCTTGGTCTTCAACTTAGTCTCCAGGAGATGGGTTCTTCTAAGATGTTGCCTTACCTTAACATGTTCTTGTTCTCGAATATTGGTGGGATAGCTGCTGATCACTTGGTTACCAAAAGAATATTATCTGTTACTCGAACTCGGAAATTCTTGAACACAATAGGCTTTGCTGTAGCATCGCTGGCACTGATGGCTATCCCCATGTTCAGAACTTCTGGGGGGGCTATCTTCTGCTCATCTGTGGCTCTTGGTTTCTTAGCTTTAGGGAGAGCAGGATTTGCTGTGAATCATATGGATATCGCTCCTCGATATGCCGGTATTGTCATGGGAGTTTCAAACACTGCTGGTACGTTAGCTGGTATTATTGGAGTCGGTTTAACTGGCAAACTACTGGAAGCTGCAAAGGCTTCCAATTCAGATCTCTCAAGTCCAGAAAGCTGGAGAGCTGTTTTCTCCATTCCAGGGCTGCTCTGCATTCTTAGCTCTATTGTATTTTTGCTCTTCTCAACCGGTGAGAGAATTTTCGACTGAGGTAACCTTCCTTTTTTCTTCATGGAAACTGCCTCACAATCACCATTCATATATTGATTTATGATCATCATCACAGTGAGTGTATTTACAAACTTTCAAATGCCAAAAAGAGTTTATAGTGGCGTGTAGGATAGGAGGAGGAAATCTTATTATTTCATATGCTACGTGTTTCAATTTCTAAGTTAAAGTTTTTTCTTTTCTATAACATAAAGAATGTACCATGATTTAGCATCATTGTAGTTGATGATTGATATTTCTGTGACATCTGTCTCGTGGACTGCATAGCTTCTATGTGAAAATAAAGTCTGTGGAACTACAAATTTGTAATTGTGTATGATACATTGGGATCATTTCCGATTTCTTCAACTGATCCCATAGATTTTGATATGAATGATATGCATAAATGAAGCTTGTTCTACATATTTTACTCTATTGTCAACTTAGGAGGTCGAAGTTTTGAATCTTCCACCTCTTACATGTGTGCACGTACATCGACGTATTCCTCTCTCTCATGCAACAAATTATTTTGAGGAAAATGAAATTTGGAATCGTGTGATGTAGCAAACAATTTTATATGCCTGGATGAATGAGTGATTCTTGGTCAAGAAATCAAGAGATCATATCTCCCACCCTATATATTGTTGAACTAAAAAGAACGGTCACAGTAGTCATATTATATAAAATTTTCTGCTTAGCTTCTCGCTTGTCTTCTCTTTCCTGTCTTGTGTGTGTCTGTATTATATAACAGTTCTTGCACTTCCTCGATGAAGATCGCTAGAGACAATGTCTATATCACAATCATGTGCTTCGTCTCTAAGTTTCACAGTGTTTGAACTTCAATCTTGCCATTTAGTCATGTAGTCAATACACTTTGGTTGGTACATACATATCAATGTAGTTCATATTGAAGCTTGCATAACATATAGGAAAACTATTACTGTTCAACATTCATTTTGCACATACACGTCAAGGGGCTGGGCTGTTTCATCCTCTATGTGTCTGCCAACTTTGATTTACATTAATGTAGGGGCACAATTGATATTTTCAAAAGTACAGGGACTATATTGAATTAAATAAAAGTTGAAGGATCAATCAATTAATGTGGTGAATTTTCACACATTAAATAATAAGTAACTGCTTGAAGTTCAACCTCCAGAATTGAGTTATTGTTATTATCAATAACTTCCCAATCAAAAGAGGAAAATAAAATAAAATAAAATTATATAATTTTGAGGAAATTAGAATTTAGTTCTGAACTTTGGGAAGAATCATTACTCCTAAAATTTATCATTTATTTAAAAAATGTTCAAATGGAGAAGACTAAATTATTTCAAGCATCGACAAAACGAGCATCTCTTGTTTCAAAGAGAGGAGGACGGGTTATTCACATTTCATTTGATGGTTAGAGGCCAATTGAAAGCTAAGTAGCGGTAATTCTAAGGATTCCCGAAGGGAAAAATAGAGATGTCTCATACGTTACCCAGTTACCCGTAATATGTTGAAGTATCAACGTAATTTCATAGAGTCATTTGGTTTACATATTTTACATTATTTTATTTGATTCTCGATGATTTTTCATTAAAGGTAATATTATAATTCTTAAAAGAAGGAGGGCATTTTTGGAATTATAAATTAAGTTTGAGTAAATTATTATTTTTATGAAATTTAAAGGACTTGAAAAAAAAAAAAATCTTGGGGGCAAAATCGAGAGATTGAAAAAGTAGAAGGTCAATCTTGGAAAAAGAAAGGCATTAATCCAAAAGAAGGATTCACTTTTGTCTTTGTCTCAACGATTGACCCATCGGCTTCGTCGTCCCCCTGAAAGCAGGGGGCTTCCGAGGAAGAACAAGAACAACAAACCTTGCTCCCAATGGACTTCCACCGGAATCCTTCCGTCAACAACCGCCATTCCCCCTCCCCCACCTCCTCTGTCTCCTCCACCACCGTCCCACACAACCCCTCCGCCACCACCGCCACTGCCGATAACGACCCTATGCACTCATGGTGGGAGTCCGTTTCCAAAGCCCGCTCTCGCATCCACGCTCTTTCCTCCATCCTTCCCCCTCATTGCGACTCGTTTTTTCTCTCCTCTCTCGCCGATTCCGACCGGCCGGCCCTCTCTCTTTTGTCCTCTCACGATGCTTACTCCGTTATCTCCTCTGCTCTCTCCTCCTCCGTCTCTGGATCTGGTTCTGACCCTCTCTGCCACTGGCTTTACGATACTTTTCTCTCTTCCGATCCCCATCTCCGCCTTGTTGTTCTTTCCTTTCTTCCACTTCTTTCCTCTTTGTATCTCTCTCGCGTTCATTCTACTTCCTCCGATTCCCCTTCTCCTCCTTCTCTCGCCGGCTTTGAGGCTGTGCTTCTCGCGCTTTATTCCTCTGAGGTTAAGTCTCGGGCTGGGAAGCCTGTTCTTGTCGCGATTCCTGATCTTTCGCAGCCTTCTCTTTACCATTCTCCTCTGAATAAGCCCAATTCTGTTGCCCAAGCTCAATTCAGGCCATCCGTTGGAGTTCTTTGCCCTTCGCTTGAACCACAGAACGCGGTGAAGTCAACCAAAAGAGCTTGTATCATTGGCGTCGCTCTCGATTGCTATTACAAGCAGATCTCGCAGATGCCGAGCTGGTCGAAGCTTGAACTCTGTCGCTCTGCGGCGTCGTGGGCTGGGCAAGATTGTTGCTGCAAGAGAGAATTTGATAAAGAAGATGGTTTGGATATTGATGGGTTTTCGGAGAAAAGGGCTTTGGAGTATGGGGATGAAATAGAGGATGTTTCAGTAAAAATGGGTAACCTACAAGTTGAGACGTGTGGGAACAATTCCGATGATTCAGAACCTAAGGGGTTCAGAATTCCGCTTCCATGGGAGCTTTTGCAGCCATTACTTAGAATTTTAGGACATTGTTTATTGGCTCCTTTGAATTCACAAGATGTTAAGGATGCAGCTTCCGTTGCTGTAAGGTGTTTATATGCAAGGGCATCTCATGATTTAGTACCGCAGGTGATATTGGCAACTCGGAGTCTTATTCAGCTTGACAACAGAACTCGAGCGGCTGCAAAGGCTGCAACAGCAACAAATGCTTACACACCCAGCAAAGATAAGAAATCAGAAATCTTATTGGTCTCAAAATAAACGATCTGAATGAGGTAACAGATGTTGTATAGTGATTCTGAAGCGGTTGAACTTTACTTTGTTTAGGATAATACTGTATGGATGTCTGTAGTCTTTATATGATGGTTAGATTTCTCACCAAGTTACAAGCCTTTTGAGTTGTACTTTTATAGGATTTTATTCTTGTGTTCCTTGGCTGAGTAGACCTCTTTGGTTAGAATTTCATGTGCTTGCCTATACATGGAGGGTAATTTTTCCTTTTTCTTTTTCCATTTTTAATTTTAGCTGGTGTGTATGGTCAAGGGTATGAATAACTTAAGTTTTATACATTGTCGTGTGATTCATTTTGATAGTGATTGTTCAGATTTATGTCATATACAGTTCACTTGGGTTTGTTTTTTATAATCTATACCAATGGTTATCAAGTTGAGCAGCTTGGTCTCAATCTCTTTAGATTGGAGTTTTGATTGTACAGTTATTCTCCTTTATTGGAAGTGGTAGATGGGTTTAGTAGTCTACATGTTTGTGACCCTACTGATTAGTTTATCCCTGAAATAACATGCTTTGATCTGGTGGTCTATACTGAACTTAATGTTCTAATATTGGCTAAGTCTCCTTTGACTACTGATTAGTAAAAGTTGTTGATGCAGTAGTTCTTAGGTTGTAATAGCCCAAGTCCACTAACATGCAAATATTGTCTGTTTTGGCTTGTTACATATTACCATCCGCCTCACGATTTTAAAATGCGTCTATTATGGAGAGAGTCTAGCCCTACTCCAACCAGTGTCTCGCACCATCCGATAACTTGACTTTGATATCATTTGCAACAGGCCAAATCTACCACTAGTAGATATTGTCAGCTTTGGCTTGTTATGTATTGTCGTCAGTCTTACAGTTTTAAAACGTGTCTATAAGGAATGTTTCGCTCTCCTCTCTAACCGTGAGACTGACAGCGATACGTAACGGACCAAAGCGGACAATATCTACCCGTGGTAAGTTTATTTTTCTTACCTTTATTGTCTGGTGACCTGCCTTTTACTTGATGTTCCCAAGGGGATGTACAGGGCATGATATCATGAGTAGTTTTGTTGTAATTGCAGATCTTTTGTTTGCCTCCTGTTCTTTTTCCTTCTCTGTTTCTGTCTTTCTCCTCCTCTCAAACCAGAATCTGTTGTAGACCCACTCTGTTTTCTGTCTATTTGTTTGGCTCCCTTCTTCCCTTCCATTTCAACCAACCTTCCACTTTAGGGAGACTGTCTTTTCTCTTTAAGAAAGAACTTAGGTTTTTGCCTATTTGTTTGCCTTCTTTTTAGACCCACTCCGTTTCCTTTTCTAAGAATGCCTGAGGCTTAATCATTTGCCTCATCCTGTTTCTTCTCCTCTCTCTAACCACTCTATCCTTCTCAATGATGTTGAAGAGGGATGGTACATACAAGCGTTTTAGGCGATTTTTTCCCTTATAATGTGAGGATAATGTATTATATCATAAACAGCCATTGTTGAAATTTAGGCTGTAGGTGAGGAATCTTCGCAGAGAAGAACACTGGCTAACATGAAGAGTATTGTTTGCAAACAATTGTTGAGGTGCCAGAACATTCAACTTAGCTAATGATTTGTATTTAACTTAGTAGTTCCAAATTATTTTTCTATAATGTGTTTTAATCTTTGTGTAGCCAAATTTCAAAACTAAGCTTTGGCTTTAAAATATATGAAAAGTAAACTCACGACGACCTTTGGCGTCTCAAGTTCATATTTTTAGATATGATTCACATGTTATAGGTTCTGTCACTATTAATTTGAACCCCTATTTGGAAATCAAAATAATCTACCAAATGTAAACCCATCGTGTTTTGACTTGCATTTTTTCAAAATTGTATTCTTTGATACTTGATGTTCAAACTAATTTCACGCCTAGATTTGATTCTTAACATGCACCAATTGCTTAATCTCTTCTTTAATCACAAAGGACTTGATATCTCCAAAACTGACAGTCATCGAATGATTAATCCTCAATCCTCAACCCTCATTCTTCAAGTTTTTGCACTGAGAACGCTACAAGAAATGAAAGGCTACACCTTCGGTAGCAGCCAAAAAAAAGTTTAGTAAATTCCAATGCTCATCTTGTCTCATATGCTCTTCGTTACGAGCAGATTGTACACATATTTCTTGTAATAGTTCAAGTTCACTGTTAGTAGATATTGTCCCTTTTAGTCCGCTACATATCGACGAAGACAAAAGCTATTAACAATGGACTTAGACTGTTACATTTCTTGTCCGTTGCTGCTTTTCCAAACACCAAAAGCAATAGTTTAGAATCTCTTTAAAACCTTTTTCAATATAAACAAAATATAAACAAACTGACTTCAAGTTAAACAACAAAGTTCTCAAGGAAAGAAAACAAATCAAACATTTGAACTTCCCAGAACACTCAAATCTCATCGATAAGTACAACTGCAAATGGACAGGTTTAGCATTCTTAGTACCTCTTCCGATCAAGCTGGATTGGAAACAATGTCAAACAACCAACCTTGTTTCATAGCTCGAATATCCCTTTTTCAATAGAAAAAAAATGGTGATCCATTCCCTTGTTTATATCTTTTATATCAATATAAAAATGCTGATTGAATAGCTGTAATATGAACTCAAAACAAACTTAGTTTCGATCTTATCGACATCCTTTAATACAAACCTGTTGCCACTGAACATTTGCTCTAAGTTGAACTTTTGTTTAAGCATGGAGTTTTCTTTGTTCTTCATTGCAGCCATTCTGTTCTTTGGTTCTGTTGTAGCTCAAGTTGATACTCTTCTTGGCTTTAATGGAGATGAGAGAGATGCTCTTTATGCATTGAAGGCAACTTTCAATGACTCTTTCCTTAACAGAAACTGGAGTGGAACTCACTGCCACAACAATCAGCCTCCGCTTTGGTATGGCCTTCGATGTGTCGATGGCCGAGTAACGATGCTGTCGTTGGATAGCTTGGGATTGGTGGGGAATATGAACGTCGATGCTTTAAGGAAGTTCACTGAATTGTCTACATTAAGCTTGAAGAACAATTCCTTATCAGGGAATGTATTCAATTTCTCTTCCAACAAGAAGCTGAAGGCTATAGATCTATCATTCAACGTGTTTGATGGGTGGATTCCAAATTCCCTTGTGAGCCTAAATTCATTGCAGTCATTGCAGCTTCAGAACAACAGACTTATAGGTTCCATATCTGAACTCAACCAGTCTTCCTTATCAGTATTCAATGTCTCAAACAACAATCTCAATGGTTCTATTCCAAAAACAAAGGCTCTTCAGTCGTTCGGCTCGAGCTCCTATAGCGGTAATCCAGGACTCTGCGGTCGACCCTCTGATGTTGTCTGCAACTCAATCATAAAAGAGTCAGATAAGATAGCAGCAGCACCTCCTGATACTAGTAAAGCCACTGAAGCGAATTCTTTTTCTAAGCATCTTGTCACTTTGTTGCTAATTCTTGTTATTGTACTCTTTTTTGTTGCTACTCTATTGCTGCTGCTTCTCTACTTCAAGAAACATCGAGAGCTAAAAGAGCTTATGAAGCAAATAGGATTGAATGAAACAAAAGAGAAGAGAAATGAAAACTTGACAGACATCTCAGTTCAGAACCAAGGACCTGCAGCAGATGAAGGAGGAAAGCTCATCTTCATGGAGGAGAGTGAAAATTTCCTCCTTGAAGATCTTCTTAAAGCTTCTGCTGAGGGACTTGGTAAGGGGATATTTGGGAATAGTTATAAGGCTATGCTTGAAGGCAGGTCGCCTATCGTCGTGAAAAGGCTTAGAGATCTGAAACCGTTGAGCGTCGATGAATTCATGAAGCAAGTACAAGTTATTGCCAAGCAAAGGCATCCAAATCTGCTTCCACTTGTTGCCTATTTCTACACCAAAGAAGAGAAGCTTTTGCTCTACAAGTATGCAGAAAAGGGGAACTTGTTTGATAGAATCCATGGTAAGCTCTATACATTCTCATTCTCTCGTTCCCTTCCATAAATTGTTGTGAACAAGTGTACTCCTAGATATAGCTCAACTCAACTATGAGATCACACGTTAGTTGGAGAGGGGAACAAAGCATTCATTGTAAGGATGTGGAAACAAAGCATTCTTTGTAAGGATGTGGAAACTTCTCCCTAACAGACACGTTTTAAAACCGTGAGGCTGATGGTGACGCGTAACGGGCCAAAGCAGACAATATCTACTAGCGGTGAGATTGGATTGTTACAAATAGTATCAGAGCCAGACACTAGGCAGTGTGCCAGCGAGGAGGTTGGGCCTCCAAGGGGGTGGATTGTGAGATCCCATATCGGTTGGAGAGGGGAACAAAACATTCCTTGTATGAGTAGTAGACGCGTTTTAAAATTGTAAGGTTGACGGCGATACGTAACGGGCCAAAACGAAAAATATCTCATAGTGGGTTTGGGCTGTTACAAATGGTTTTAGAGCCAGACATCGGGTGGTATGTCAACGAGGACGTTGGGCCCTCAAAGGAGGTGGATTGTGAGATCCCACATCAGTTGGAGAGGGGAACGAAACATTCCTGGTAAGAGTGTAGAAACCTCTCCCTAGTAGACACGTTTTAAAAGTGAGGCTGATGGCAATACATAACGAGTCAAAACGAACAATATCTGCTAACGGTGGGCTTACATCAACTATTCATATGCTTGGTTTGAATCTCATGTTCTAGATATTGTTTGGCTAAAAGATTACAACAGATAAAGTTAAACCATGCATAAGAAAACATACATAACTAAGGTAGAGTGTTCTTAACTTCAAAGAACGATATTTTTTGTGCAACGTAGGAGGCAGAGGTGTGGGCAGAGTTCCATTCAGGTGGCGTTCAAGATTGGTTGTTGCTCAAGGAGTGGCAAGGGCTTTGGAATATCTCCATCTAAATACCAAGCCAAATAGCATTATCCCACATGGAAACTTGAAATCTGTAAATGTCTTACTTGGTGAGAATGATGAGGTTCTTGTTTCAGATTATGGTTTTGCTTCTCTTGTAGCCCTTCCCATTGCAGCTCAACGCCTAGCCTCATATACATCACCTGAATATCAACAAATAAAGAGAGTGTCAAGAAAGTCAGATGTTTGGAGCTTTGGCTGCCTTCTTATTGAACTTTTGTCAGGAAAAATCTCATCTCACTCAGCACCAGAGGGTTCCCACGGCATTGATTTATGCGCTTGGGTGAACCGAGCAGTAAGAGAAGAATGGACCGCAGAGATATTCGACTCTGAAATAGCTTCACAAAGATCTGCTATTCCAGGAATGTTGAATATGTTACAGATTGCAATACGTTGTTGCAATACTTCACCTGATAAACGACCAGAGATGACTGAAGTTGTGAGAGAGGTTGAAAGTATCAGGCTAACAGAAAATGGAGAAGAGTATAGCTCATCCTTTGATCAATCATTAACAGATGATTCAATGTCAGGCATTGCATTGGATGAGAGATGAAAGATGCACCATTTCAAGCCAAATTATGAATAATACTTTACTATTATTCAGACTTTTCTTATGGCATTGAAATCCATTGATCTCATTTGATAGGTAGAGTAGATAAGGATACAAGGTTCTTACCAGAATCTTCACTCACAGAAGAAGAACACAAACCAATTGAAATGAATCATAATAATTAAAATCTGTATCATATGGTACTTTACAATTGTCAGAATGGGTTGTGGGGTCAACATAAATTTCTTCTATCTTATACTAAACTTGCTTTTCCCCCCATTTTTGTGTCCTGTTTTCCCTTTTTTTTGGGGGGGGGGGGGGGGAACTGATTTTAACCTCAGTTTGGAAATGAATCTAATTCCCTGAAATGGAATATAAGAATGTTTTAAATCATGATACAATTGCATTTTGATTCTCAAATGAAACGTATCAGCTTGATCAAAACTGCACTAACATGGAAGAGAGCTGAGATATCAACCAAGTTTTCCAATTTCGACCTTCTTCATTTTTCTTTGACCGTGATATATGAATGCATCTACAATTCCTGCAACGCTGAAAACACCTGCAAACGGAGATTTGGTTTTAGCCATACCGTCGAGGGATAGTAAATTTAAGACATATGTCTACATTTCTCAACACTTTGATAAAGAACAATGAAAGGTAGGAGGAAATATGTTGATTCAAACGAAGAGTTAAATATCTAAAAAGAATAGTTTTGGAGGAATAAATGATTTCACTATAGAATATTGGTGGCTCTAAGAATGAATCCCCAGATGTCCATTCGGTGAAATTGGCATATTTTGTATCTAAGGAATTATGAGACTCCAAAACCACTTATTCTTTCATTGTCCTCTCACTTAGTAGCTTTGGTATGGTTTTCAAGAGTTCATATTGTTGGGTTTTTCTTCGGGTCGACCATAAGATGTCTTCCCAACTCTTCAAGGGTCATCCCCCCTTCTTTTTTAGTACTTCCATGCATCCTTGTTGAAAGCTAGGGTCTTGTGGGATTGTATTCTCAGAGCCCTTGCGTGGGAAGTGTGGTTGGAAAAGAGTACTATTTCAAGACTTGTTTAGAAGAGGCTTCCATTTATAATTCTCTATTGGAAAGACCTAATAAATATGGTTCCTTTTCTTTTAAGCATCCTTTATGGGTGTACTTCTCATAGCAACTCTTCCACTCTTCATCTATCAACATAATACTCTATCCCGGTACACAATTTATCTTCTGGTGAAAAAAGAAAGGCTTTTTCTAAACAAAAAAATAAAAAGAAGAAAAAACAGAGGTCATCAAAATAACGTCTATTTTCCATCGAGAGAACAAAAGGAAGGAAAATGAGAGATGACTACATAAACGAGACCAGAAAGAGAGCTCAGATACATTGTCCAATTGATGTATGGAGTGAAAGAAACCGTGTAAGTAAACATATAAATATGCATGTATTTATTCTCGGGTCGAGAGGAAGAAGAGGTAGAGAAAGGACAGCATATAGTACCTCCAACTATGGCACAAATGTGAGTCATGAAGTGTAAAAATGGAACATGCTCCTCTGAATAGGTCACCTGAACAATGCATAGGAAAAAATAAGTCAAACACAGATTGCAATGTGTGGCACATATTATATGGAAGGCCTTATGGTTCACTTCTCTTTAGAACAAGTCTACACACATGCTTCATTTCCTACTTTAATTTTACCCCACTAAAAAATCTAAAAGTTTATGCTCTTCTTTTGAACTTTTCGTATAAATATGATCCACTCAAACAAGAACCTGATGACATTTAGCATCACCCATCAGTGCAGCTGAAGTTCCATTATTACAATGAAGAACATTATAATTTTTGTTTTGAGGAACACTTTGCATGTAGAGATATTACCAACCTTAACAGGAGAAAGATCGTAGTAAAAGAAAACTCCGGGTATAGACAGAGAATTTCCGAACTCCACACTCTTGAAATGCTCCGTTGCAGAGTACTGCACAGATTCATTGGTATGAAGTTCAGGGCATCATCCAAGAGAAATTGTAATATGCATAAGTAAGATTCATTGGTATGAAGTTCAGGGCATCATCCAAGAGAAATTGTAATATGCATAAGTTCATTTACTGGGACTATCAGCAATACCTGATTTGAATGGACAGTATGACCTCCGATGTCCGTGTATATAGTTGGAACCACCTGCAATTGGAGATATATTCATTGTTCTTCCTAACAACTTTCAAGTATCAGCGAGAACATTGCACCCTAAACCCAAGTAACAAATACGATATGAGGATCAATGTATGCTGCTTTAACAGATCGGGGCAGTTCTAAACTACGGCACTCATCATACACAAAAGTAAATGGACACAAGCTTCAAATTGTAATAGCATTTTCCCAAGTGCCAAAACTACTCCAGATGACGTTGGGATCACTGCAAATTGACAAGGAGTAATCCCCGAGAAGTGAATTCATGACTTGTCAATTGTATGACGAGAGGAAATGACTTTATAGGTTCGGATTTTCACCTTTGTGCGGATCCTTACCCACTCATCATAGCATTTAGTTTTAATTCCTAGAGGTTTTTTAATTAATTTTTTTATTTAAAATTTGGGTGCGGAGGTAGATTATGGTGTATCATCGTTCACTAGTAAGAATTCTGATCAGTAAATATGTCACGTATCTAAACAAAATTTATGTTCAATTTTGAAGAGAAACGGGATATTAAGAATGTCTATCCCTGGAGCAGGGAAAACAAACCCTACTCTAAACTAGGTTAAAGCTTCTTACCTTGACAAAGTACTGGTGCATAACATTCTGTTTATCATATTTCCAATGCACCCTGAACAAGTAATGGAAGCTCATCTCAGATAATAGAATTATTAATAGTACTAGAACCATTTCCAATGACTAAACATCTATAGAGGAGGCAAAATAAATAAATAATTACCCATCAAGGGGATTTACCAAGCCATCATAGTGGTTGCCAAAAGCTAATCTATTTATTCGGTGACTTACCTGCATCATGCAGATGAAACTTAAAATGTAAATAAGGATGATAAATATATATCACAGCAGAAAAAAGAGATTGATTAGCAAACAATGCTTGGCTATACGCATGCCCTTTGTATAGTGTATTTCAAATTTACACAAGAAAGTATAAACTCATACATTGTAGTCGCTTGTTTGCAATGCGAACAACCCAAGAAAATTGAAACTTGACTGATGAAAGCTTTTTCCAGGCACAAAGTTGAAACTTCCAGCTACTTTATTAACTTCAAGAGATCCTTCGATATTACACCCTTCACCTTCTTCATCCTTTACCTTTTGTATAAAATCTTCTCGTTGGCACTAAAAAAATGAAAAGGCATATAAATCTTAATTGCCCACAAAAACAGATCACACGATTCACTTGTAGTTTGGAAACAAGACTTGTAAATGCAGAGTGTGCCTTCCTCTGTTTCATGCAATGGTTGGTGCAAGCAAAAATTACTCGACTTTAAGAATAAGAACATTGAAAAACTTATAAATATGAAAGGGCCTTCTGCACATATAATCCCCAAATTAATTACAGCCATCTGTTCCTTGACATTTGAAACCAATGCCTCAATCAAAAGTCAGTATTTATAATTTCTGATGAATCCAGAAACAAAAGGCGGAAGACAAATAGATACAAGATAGATAAGATGGCTGTTGGCCTTGACAGTATCAGTATCATCGTGTCACTGTTAAACTCCTTAGGGAGTTTGTCAATTTTACAAATCATAGAAGTTAGAACTAAGGGCATCGAAAAAACAAGAGATAGTAGATGGGTAACATTTGAAAGTAGGATTTTTCTTCCTTCTCTTGTGAAGCATGGATAGTTTAGTGTGGGTAATATATTCATGTCCAACACACATCAGATACAACACCCGTGTTAGCACAGACACTAGTGGTATAACTTGAATATGGATCCAGCACTTATTAAGCATAACAAATAAACATAATATAGTAGTCGGGACAAAACAACAAATTTTCAGAGTGACATGCATCAAACTTGTTTCTCGAGCACACAAATGCATAAGTTTATTGATGTGCATCTTTTCCAACCTCTAATGAGTTTACAAGAAGAATCATGTTATTTTTCCTTTCCTGGTGGGGCTGCATATTTAAGTGACTAGCTACCTGGTTGCCTCCTATAGTCCTAAGTACACCATATAATATCCTATAAATGGCAATTATAACAATCTGATGTACCTGGTCTATCAAATCTTGATTAGTAATAGCCCAACCTTTCTTTCTGTATGCTTCACGAACCTCTTCACATGAATTACAACACTCGTCATCTGACTGCAAACAAGATAAGGGGAGAAAACCCTTCACATTTCTGATAGAAATTTCAAGAAATATGCGGAACTTAAAAAAAAAATTCAAAATCAGCAAAACGATAAATGATGTTCATTTCAGCAATATGCCAGTCACTCATAAAAATAATATTTTCGGAAGATACAACACATATAAGACATGAAAAGAATACCAATGCTCCAAAATCCAAGATGAATAACAAAATTATAAGATAGCTTCTTACCAATCTAAAGTGCTATAAAGAAAACCAAGACAATGGAAACCAGAAAGGATATCTTTAATAATAATAATATTAATATCAAATTCTTCAGAGGCGCCTGCCTTTCATGGCTTTATTCCCTGGCTGGTGTTTCTTTGTAAATATGACGTTGAATCACAGAACATTTTTATTCACTGTCCATTTGCAAGGAGGTTCGAGAACAGTCATGAATTCCTTCCGCTGGAATTTAGTTTCTCCTAGTGATGTAAAGGGTTTTCTGTGCACTATGTTGTTGGGGCATCCTTTCAAATATGCAAAGGCTTTGTTGTGGTCGAAAATTGCTAGGGACTTCTTTTGGATTCTTTGGAAAGAATGAAACAAAAGAGTTTTCCAGGAAACAGAAAATACCTTAAAAACGTTCTTTGATCTTGTTATTTATTATGCAATCTCTTTATGTAAATTGTCCAATCTCTTTGCTTCTTACACATGCTTCTCTTTTAGTTAATTGAGAAAGCCTTTAGTAAACACCATGGATTATCTAACCAGAATCATAATCAAAGCAATGCAAAGAATAACTGCAAATTGAAAAAAAAACTAAACAAAGGATTATAGAGGACTAAAAGTACCGATTCTGCTCCAAAACATGAACCACAGTATGTTTCATTGTGCTCCAGCCTGCCACCATGCCTCTGCAACGGTTTCTCAATCTGGAGTATGAAAAAACAAAATTGAATAAACAGAAAGAAATACCAATAGCCAAAAGAAAATTTTACGGGGAAAAAAATAAAAAGAATAATTGAAACTTTTTCTAAAATAAGAAACCAACAGAAGAATCCAGGAAAATAAAGAATCCAAGAAATCGTTTTATCTCCACGAGATGAGCTGGGGAGAAATATTACTTTTTGTAAAGGAACTTCAGACACACGAGTTTTATCTTTTTAACTACTTTGTCATCCCTAAGCTATCTCAGAAGATGAGAAGATATACAATGAGAAGATAAAGAACCGGTCTGGATATTGGAGAACTAGGGATTTGTCCTAGCAATTTTTTGGGATATTTTAGCAGGGTCAAAGCATTCTTCCTCGCGAATTGTTAATATGGCTTTCGAAGATTGAAGTTATGTATATGGTTCTGAATGCAATTTATGTTCATTCAAAATCATAAAGTCCATAAAGCCAGAACATCAGGAAACGTATAAATGAAGGACCAGCTATTCCATACACTTTCCGAAGAATCAATACTACACATCACATCAAAGAACTGGAAAATTAGAAAAAGGTGTGAGAAGTAAAATGATATTAAAAAAAAAGTGCACCACAGAGCAACACACTGCATTATTAGTTAGGAGACTAGTTCCTCTTTGGCATTATGCACCCTCCTTTACATCCTCTCCCATTGTAAGGAGGCCTCGATGAAAGAAGTTTGGAACACCACCGACAACTTCTGGGACCTTAAACATCTCTCTCAAGTTGAAGACACTTGGAAATGGTCCCTCAATCCTAGTGGTCAATTTTCTACAAAATTTTATTTCTGATATGGGAGACTAGAGGTATTTGGAAGGACAATCATCCAAAAAAAAAAATGGAAAATCTCTCATAAAGCCATCAACACTAAAGATGCCCTTCAAAAATGTATGCCTTTCTTGGCCATATCCCCTTGGTGGTGCTCATTTTGTAAGGCTGATGATGAATCTCAGAACCACATTTTTATTCATTGTCAGTTTGCTTGGAAGTTTTGGGACAGAGTTCGTGAATCCTTTGGTTGGCAGCTGGTTTTACCTAGAGATGTGAAGGACCTTCTTATCATAACTCCTTACAGAATTCCAAGGCATTGTTATGGAAGCACATCACTCGGGCCTTTTTTGGGTTCTTTGGAAAGAAAGAAAACAAAGAGTATTTTTTTTAATAAAGAGAAACCTTCTCAGTGTTCTTTGGTCTTGTCATTTATTATGTTATATCTTGGTATAAATTGTGTAATCTATTTTCTTCGTACTCTAACGCTCTCCTTTAAACAACTAGGAAAGCCTCATGTAATCATCATGGATTTTACATCCCTTTTGTAAATTTCATACATCAACAAAATCGTTTCTTAAAAAAACAAAAAAACAAAAAAACAAAAAAACAATTCTGAAACCTCATATGATCAATTATGGACGAAGTAAAACATTATTATAGCAACTGCAAGTGATACCAAAAGCCTGTCATATAACCATGGTAAAACAGATAAAACAAGTAATCAATTTTTGTGGGCACAAACCATCACAATACACCCTACTAACCTTAGGGGCACCAATGTTATCTGGTCTGGCTTCTATGATTTTGCCATGATAGTCAGTTCTTTTTTTGATTATATTATGTCTCTGAAAGAAATAGCGTATACAAGCATAAGAAAATGTGAGACTACATTGAAGTATATAGTGAAATACTAGCTGAGTTACATGATAGAATGGTAAAATAATACGAAAAAAAATAATCAGAGATCCAGAGACAGAGCACTGATGCTTGCATCACATACTATATCAAGATGTTGCTCTCCACTGACATCTATGGCATCAATACTGAGTATAGAACATGGAATCGCAGGAAAACTCATATCAAACTGCACCAACAAGAAAAGGATAAGGTTTGAGCCCATAGAACAAAGACGATTAAACTAGGTCAAGAGGAACATAAATTGTAATTCACATTTATACAGTTTGTCAATTTTAAATATAAACCTATTTCAAAAGCAATAATTCAGATATAGGTAAGAAGTCGATTAGTTGAACGACATTAAAAAAAACAATATCTAGACTACAGAGAAAGTTTTTCCCAACCCACAACTACCAGCATTGGGAACAGAAAACTAGACAGTTTCCACATTCTTGGAAATTTAAAAGGACTACCAATCGAAGCTTCATCTCCAATTCCATCTTTTAGTTGAACCACATGGAATAAAAAAATTCACAACCTCTACCGAAGAAGGGAATAGTTAATGACTTAAAAGCTTTTAAAGGTGAACATTAATCTAAAGTTAATGCATGTACAGAGGAAGAACAATATAGTATCATTGCCACAAAAACCCATAATTACATTTATGTGTAACTTTCCCCCCCTTGATGTATCTACGATGAGCCTTGTCTCAGTTTTAGCATGGAGGTACAATCCTGCAACCACACATCACAAATGATGGTCACAAAAAGCTTCAAAAAATAAAAGGAGATATAAAACCACGTAATATTAAATGGCTTAATATATACTTTCGAACTACATAATACTGAATTATCTACTCATACAAAAAGTAGAAAACAAACAGGATGAAGCCAGTGAAATATCATGGGCTAAACCTGATAGTATAAACAGAGCTAGAAGGGGGAATTAAGCACCCTTCAAGGTCCAACAAGAAATTGTTGATCATAGCCCATGAAAAAGTTCATAAAATGTAAATGAATTGTCTCCATAAAAGACAATTACCTCCAAAAAGTCAAGTTTGGGAAGGAGCATCATTGATGTCACTTGGAGGAGGTGAAAAAATTAGGACATTTTACCGACTCGCTGAGCTCATAGGTCTGAAGTTTCATAAGTCACTTCAAGTACATTTAAAACCCCTCAAAATGTTAGTGACCTAACTAACGTATGAGGTCCTATAGCTTTTTTATCTTAAAAAGTTCTCCACATTAAAACTTCTTTTGCCTGCTTCTAAACCATAACTCCTCTAATTTCACGAACTATCCTTAAACTTACAGAACAATTTGAAAAGAAAAAAAAGTAAAAAATCAACCTAGTCAGATACACGAGTCACTAGATTGCTTAAAGTCAATCATTTGACGTCAAAAGATCAATTTGTTTAGGCATAAGATTTCTCAACTACATCATTTCATCAAGTAGTAACTAAACTTTGTAGAAGAAAGAGTTGAACCCCCTCATGTAACTTTTCAGTACATCCTAGAAGAGAAGAACTTGACAGATTTTCAAATATGAAATAACCTTTGGCAGAGAAGATAGTTTTCATAGGCGGCAAATAAATTACTGATAATTTCTTCTATCTTTGATGATTGGATTAAAGGTAAAGGTGAAGGGCAAACACGGGCTTCTCTAGATTTAGGTTATGATACCCATTGGTAAATAATTCCTAGAATCATGTTTGAGCCTGATATGCTTCTATGAATAATTGAACTGCAAGGACAATGAAAGGGGCACAAAATGAAACTTCTCCTACCTACCTCTGCCAGTCAGGATAAACTGTATTAAATGAAAAAAATGTTATCCTCAGGCCCCTAAGATGGCTGGTCTCCCAATCACCCACACCACATTGCAATTTAACGTCATAATGAACAGCCATAAGAAGACCGAGAAAGGGCAAATCGCTAAATCAACATCAAAATATTCCCACAAGATTAAATAGCATCCAGATTTCACAATGTACAAGCAAACCACAACTCGAATATGCAATTTCCCAAGCTCCTTCCAAAACTTTCCGATAAAATCAAAATCACGTCCAATTCAAATTAGAATCGAACCAAGCCAGATAAATGGCGGGTAGACGAGACTTTCACGGGGGAAAAAAGAAAGAAAAAGCACCGGAACATACTTAGCTCGGAGAAGAAGAGGAAGAGCATGATAAAGGAGGAAGCAATGGTGATTATGCCACCAGAAAAGGTCCGCCTGTAGAAATCTTCATTGATTTTAGGGTAAGCATCCAAATTCCGGAGCCTGTTGAAAATGGCATCCATGGCTTGACGAAGAAAGGCAACAAACTTGGAAAATTCCACCGTCCGGAATTCGAATTCCAGAGAAATCAGATGAATATTAACATATATAGAATTTGATTTGACTAAATCAAGAAATGTCTGAATGCCGGAGAGGTCGGTAATTACATAGATTTTCCGTACGCGATTTGAGCTTCATTGTCGATTTGAGTTGCTTCGCCGAATACGATGAACATACGGAATCCATTGTCGCATTGTTTAGCGGACGACATCGTTCGCGGTATTGCCGAATTATTTATTTTCTAATTCTGTTTCATATAAATAAAATTTATAAAAAAATATAATAGAGTATTTTACTAATATAATTTCTAAAAAATAAAATTTTAATATTTAAATCCTAATAAATTTGTTTTAAAATTAAGATCTTTGTCTTAGCTAATTTAAAAAAATATATATATAGAAAGTAAAGTTTTAAATTTTTTATTAGAATTCTAAACCAAATTATTAGTATTTAAATATTTTAAGATTTGTAAGTTACAATATTAAAATTTATTTTTTTAGAAATTATATTAGTAAAATACTTTATTATATTTTTTATTATTAAATATTATTAAATTTATTGGGATGTTTTAAAATTTTTAATAGAAATTATATTGAAAAATAAAAATTATATACTTTTTTTACAAATAATTCTTCATATATTATATATCACACTAGAAATAACGAATACAATAACGAAAAACTTAACCGATCCTTTCAGTATATACTAACATCATTAAAAGTTTAAGATTTTTTATAACATTTTTTTTTTTATTAAAAACATACGTTAATATAGCTAAAATAATATATTATCATTTAATAGATTAAAATATAATCTAGCTTAAACGATAATTGAAAAAGAGTCGAGCCAAGCATAACTCTATCAGATAAGGCACTAATAATCCTGCTTACACGACTCGAAATTCGTACATGTCACGACGGTTTCAGGTAAATTACGTTTGTAGTGTTCATAGTATTCATTGGAATCCCCACCCTTATAGCCTTTGAGTTTTTCTACCCCCTTACTTGTTGCAAGAAAAAAGGCTCTAAAAATGAATGCTCATAGCAAACCAATCCTCAAATAGATATCAACTTGGGGTTGGAACAAAAAATGACCATCAGCTCTTAATACTCAAAGACCACAAGATATATAATACATCAGATAACATTCTAAAGAACATAGGCTCCAAAACAATGAGCATAGAATTATTGCCATTACAATGAACATGAACCCTAAACAATCCAAAACAGAGTAGCCCCAAAGTAGAAACAATGCATCAAATAGTATTCAGCTGAGCCCTGCCTAAAATTATGCTTCAGAAATGAAAAGACAAGAACTTTACATAGTAATGCACCATTTATTCATCTAAACAGAGAGATAAACGCTACATAATCTAAACTTTGAACTCAAATGAATCACTAACATACAAACAGAAATGACTTAAACTTCCAAAAATCATGGCCAGGCCATTTCCTAAGAGTGCCAGTTTTTTGTTTTTGCAGATAGCAAAAAGAGCCTCCACTAGTTGACTGTAGGGTAGGTAACAAGACCTGTGGATTGGGATTAGCCTATAAAAGCAGTAACTAATGCACAAAATATTTCAGTAATCAGCATAGTTAAACAGGCTCTTAATACATTAGCCAAAGACAGGTAGAATTATAGCCTACTTAGACTTTCAAGGTAAGGATTTGAAGGACCTGGACCAAGAAGGATGCATGGAGAAACAAATTTCACAGAGATTACGATAGTAAATGAGTATAGACTGGAAATCACACCATGCAACGATGCTCGGCCTCATTTGGCGTGTTATTACACAATATTTTACAGAGCTTACTACTGCTCATAGTTTTTCCCATTTGACAGCGGCTTTTGATCTGCTGCTGCTGCATAAGCTGTAGCTCCCCCGGTTTCGTCCTGAAAATTTTGTTTTTCGGCTGGCACCTGCATATTGGTGACATGTTAAGACGAACTAACTGGAAATGATTTTATTCCATACAGAACAGGAAGAAAACTGAAAGGTGTGAAAAGCTTACCAGTTTGGGAGATTTCAGAGGCAAGGCATTACCACCAGTGGGCATTACAGATGGATCCGAAGGCCGGTGAAACAGCAAGTGGGCGACTGATCGATCGATAGGATTGGTATCAGTTTCCAAATCCAAAAAACCTCCACTCCTGTTAAAACCGAAATCCACGGTAAGAAAGTTCGAAATAACTCCATAGACAGGGAAAAGAAAGAGAAAAAGAAGCTCAAACTTAACTGCATTGTTTATACACAAGAAGAAAAATAAGTAAAATGCTGTTGGTTCACCCATCCTCTGCATTTACAGAAACAAGAAACCACTGATAACCAGCCAGCCATACAGGCCAATTGGCATTCCTATAGTTTTAGTAAATATTAATCAAGTTAGTTTTCGTGCGCATAATCTAGAATTTTTCGTTTCAATTTGCTTTCATTCAACTTTCCATCATCCTCATTCAGATGAACTAAATGAGGCCTAAGCACACACATTGCTAGAAGGTAACAGAAAGAAAACTGAAGTGCCCCAACTTGATAATAATAAGGTGAGTAATAACTTGCCTGTTAGCGTCTTGATCGATCAACGGTGCAATTCTCACAAGTTTATCTTCTCTAATATTCTCATTAAGATTTGCACAGTTATGTCTCTGCTCCGCACTTCTTGCCAGGCGATATAAACTATCTCTTATGCATAGTTTCATCCGAATATCCAACTGAAATAAGTACTTCGAGCCGTTAGTTTGAAGAATAATATCACAATTTCACATTTCCCAGTGAAGGAATCTAATGTTCATTATCAAAGCATTTTATGAATCTTGGCTCATTTTTAGTTTTTTGTATAAACCATAGAAACATTTTCCTCAAGATTATGGAAATGCAATGCTCTCATGTGTAATGAGTTGTAAGAGATTCAATAAGCTTTATGAGGTTCTGTGGTTCTTTCACATTAGTTTTAAATATAAATACATAAACTCAAAACACATAATGTAAAATCATTGGAATGTACGGCAATTCTTCAAATATAATTCAAATGTACATCCTTTTATAAACAAACTTTTCCATGTCCTAATTTTCTAGAAAATGACGTGTTGACGTGCATGTGTCATGTTGTGCTGGTGTCTCCTCGTGACGATGTTGTTTAAGGTATATGGATAATCTAATTTACGACTTGTAGAATTTCAGACATGCGAGCAGTGAATACCACAAATTGAAGGGATTGAAGAAAACCACCAAATGTTTGTTATGGACATGGACAGATTGTTGGCTAGGGTATGTTAGCAAAGAACGACTCGCTTATTGCATGAAGGACGAAGAACTACTATGCATGCAAATGACTCTTTCCATGCAGATAGACAGGGGACACTATTATATGATGTGAAAAGCATGTAAAATACTACTACCTGCTCCATTACTTGTTGAAGCTGGCAAAAACTAGTTGCTTCCAGTGAGATTCCATCCAGCGTAGTGCTCCGGCAAGATATATCCGGTGCATTTGAAGAATCTAATTCCGCTCGACTTTCTCGGCTAACTACGCCAGTTTCACTGTGACCATCATCAATTTCACTTTCAGATCTTGGTGCATGCTTTCTAACTGGAAATGAAGTACTGAATGTTTCCGAATTTGGCATAGACATCAAAGTGAAATTCTTATTGAATGAGGCTGGTAAATCCTGGTGGTACAGTTTTTCTCTATTTTCATTTGCTGCAATTGTTGGAGCGTCGAAGGAAGGATTATGAGAGCTAGGTACAGCCTGTAGTTGATTAGATGCAAAAGAAGACTCCTGCAGAAATAGGTGGGCGTTAATTGTAGATTTTGTACGAGAAAGAGCTGAAGACACCAAAATTTGTTAATACACATTGCTATATTCTAGGTCCAGACACAAACTTCCTGTTCGTATGCCACTCAAGTATCAGATCAGCATCCCTATTTATGCCTTGGAAACCTTAATAGGGAAGATATTCTATACTATCATGTATGGCTCTATGCCTTGAAGAAATTTGTACATTGTTTAGGCTACAGTCATAAGTTTTCAATTTGATGAGTTCCAGAAGGATGCGCTCGGAGAGTTCTTACTTTATCCTACAACGAGCCTCAAGAGTTTTACTACAATGCTTCGTTACATGAAAAGATGGTTCGTTCTTCACCCATTTTTTACAATGAACATAACTAGGCTGGGGAGAGAAGATCTCAATTACAAATAAAATGAGAAAGGTTTTATTTCATTCTTGGTTCAAGGATAAAGAAAGATCCAGAAAACTCAATTTCAAATAGAAAAATTAGAACAAAGACAAACCTGTTGTTTAGGTATCAAGTCACCTCTAGAATTTCTTTTTCTATCTGGTATGTCAGCAGCTAACAAGTGACTAACAGCAGCAGAGTCAATCCCATCATTTACCTTACACCCAGTTAAAATATTATTTTTGTTCAAACCATCAGACGATGGGTCGGAATTCAGGGGATTAGAACCTTCATTAAATTCCAATGCATCATTTATTGTACTTCCTTCACAGCACGAAAAATTAAAGTTCGACTTTGTAGGTTTTTCTTCGAGTTTTTCTGAGCCATGGGATGGGGAAAACCAGCATAGATCGTCTTCATTGCTTAGATTCCCGAGCCCAAATGTTGAATCACAATTTCTGTATCAAGCATAAACCACAATCACAGTGGATCAAAGAATTCAACTTTATATCATAAAATCAAAACAAATGGGAAAAAAACAATGAACAAGGTCGATTACCTGAACATCCTATCTACGTCCTCAAAGCTTTCCATATCTTGCCACCCATAAAATAGAAGATCGTTGTTTTCTTTGTTTTCACAATCATCATCCAGAAAACTAATATCATTACCTGTTTGAGACATGTGACTGACAGAATATTGATACATGTCATTCTCATCTGCAGCACTATTGTCAGTTACAATATGATCATCTGTGCAGTAATCAAAGTCTGTACCCACGTCTGTTTTAAAGCAGCGGTTTGGCATACTAAGACCGTTTGGTTCCATTTTCACATCTTTGAACGAGTCACTGTTTGAAGTAGGAACACCGTCAGGTGTATGAGGCCATGAATCCTTTTCCAGAACTGTATTCTTCATGATTGATGTTTGTGTTATTACTTTCTCCTTACCAAGAAAACTGAACTTAGTTGCATTGTAAGCATCATCTCTAAAGCTAATTTTGGGATTAGAATTCTCAAGACTATCACTCCGCACGTCA